CCCCCCCCTCCACACCGCCCGAACCTTCTTCCCCCGCCGCGCCCCATTCTCCCCCTTCACCCACTTAGTTTATCATCAATCAAATATTAGTTGCTTAATTACTTTAATCCCTAAAATCTTTTTAAAATACTTTTGTAACAATCTGCGATCAGCCCCTTCGAACTTCAAAATTTCTTTTGAAATATGTTGAAAAGTAGTTAATACTTCTAAAGCTCATTATTTCCGAATTTCTTTTTCACAATTTCTTTAAATAATTCATCTCTTTTGGGAATACTTTTTATTTCTTTCCAAATTTCTTTGGAAATCCTTTTTGCAATTCGATTACGTTTTTATTTTTTTGAAAATTTGAATTTGCTTTTTTTCATTGCTTCAACTATTTTTGAATAAATTCTCGAACTTAATTCGGAAATAATCACCCTTTTTAGCAATTTCGAAATTTCTCCTGAAATATTATTTTTGAACCTTGAAAATAATTAAATTGAAATTATTTTGCAATTTTTTTGAAATATTTTGAAATTAATCAATTGGAATTTCCTTTTCCTCTTTGAAATTCCATGATTACTCTAGCATTAATCTCTTTTATATATACTCCTAATTCCTTCCGAAATTTTCTTGATTAATTAATTAGTCCGTTTCTGAAGTTTAAATTCATTTGAATTAATTCCTATTTCGAACTTCTTTTCGAATGATTTCTTCCAAAATTGCAACAAAAACAAAAACTTTTTTTTTCGTAATTCAAAAATATTTTCTTTCGAAATTCCACATTTTCTTGTAAATAAATTTAAATCTAAATCAGAATCTATTTTTTTTTAAATTAATTACCTCTTCAAACGTTTATTTTTGAAAATTTCGTTGAGGAAATTCTCTTCTCCTAAAATTTTGTTCTACCCATATTTTGAATTAATTTCTAGGCTACCAGAGTGGCCCGGGGTCACTTGCCCGGCCGGGCCAAAAAAAAAAAATAAAAAAAAAAATAAAAAAATTAGAATGTTATTTTTTGTTCTAAATTTGGTGCAGAATTTAGATGTGACCTTGAGGCAAAAGTTGTTCAGTTTATTTTTCTGCGTAACATAGTTTTTTTTTCAGTTTTTTTTTTTTTTTTTTTTTTTTGGCTGGGACCTTCCCTGGTCCTTGCACGGGCTGGCCACCCGGGACCCGGGTGGCCCGGCTGGTAGCCTAGATTAATTTCGAATGAATAAAATTCCAAGTCGGAATAAATTTATTTACTCAAAATTAATTCTCACTTTCCCTTCCCCCCCAACCTTATTCCCTTCGAAATCTTGGCAATTATCCTTATTTTGAATTTATTGATAAAGAAATTGTGTCCCCCATCCCCACATGCCACCACGCCAAACCAAGAACTCCCAACGTGCCGCCGCCGCCGCCGCTGCTGCTGCCGCCGCAACTGCTGCTGCTACATCCTCCACATCTGTTCCGGATGCGTCCTCCACCCCCTCTTCCCCCAACATGGCTCAATCATCCATCAACATGTCTGATCTTCGCCCCGACTCCGTCGACAGCATTGCCCACGAACTCGCAGGCAATCCGCCAACTTCGACCATCGCCACCCCAGAACTCGCAACTTTCCTCCGAACGTTGATTGCCCTCCAATCCTCCCTTGACTCCATCAACACCACCATGGCCGCCATCTCCGACCGTGTCACCACGCTCGAGGGAAACACCCTAGCCATCACGGTCGTCACCACCACCACACCCCCCTCCTCCACACCCCAAGCCACCCCCTCCTCCAGACAAGCCTCTGCTTCAACGTCCACATCAACATCACCGCCATCTTTATCCACCACTACCTCCACCGTGGTCACTCCACCTCCCCTCTCGCCCAAGGCGAAAACCCCCGCCGTCACATAGTCATCAACCATCCCCCCCGAATCAAAACCTCTCATATCCACCTCCACTATCAC